AAAGATGCCCATTATGCAAGGTTAGAGAGGGCTGGTAGTAACTACTCATACGCTCCTTTGTAAGGGAGAAACACAACATCATCTTTCACTCCATTAGAAGGACCGGCATCGCGCAAACAGAGATGTTATCCCCATCTCATCACACGAGGCTGAAATGGAGTGGCTGCTCGACGGAGGCCGGCTCCCGGCCATCACGCCGCCCCGGAGCGGGGAGCTATAATTGCAGTGGGAGAGCACAATCAGGTGGTGTGTTTGTCTCTGCTCTAATCTCCGCGCTCTGCCCGGCGCTCTTCACAGACACGGCGCTGCAGCCTTTCATCTGCCTGCTCACTTTTTAGTTGGGATCAGTCAGAATTTGAGCTGGAGTTTTAGTGCTTTTAAGGATAAACGCAAGGCTCCCTAACCTGAAACGCAGCTGACCCCAGACTAACGGCGTCCATTATGGCGAGCGGTTCGACCGAGTTGGCGTTTAATTCCCTTCTGACAAAATGCCAGAGCAATCTTTGCACCTGGTGCCACATTGTGCACCGCCCTCGCCGCACGGGCGTGATTTTTCAGGCTAGATGAGCGTCCAGAGACGATCAACAACACGCAGCGCGCTCAAATTCCTTCGAGTTTACATTCCCCCGTGACCCAAATACTTTGCCTTTGTTGTGGTGGCTATAAAGCAGGCTATTGGAAGCAAATGTGGGTTTATAAACAAAAAGCTACGCTCCTCTGCAAAGCAGAGTTCAGTGCATGATGGCGAGAAAATGCAGGCTGAGCAGGATTACTGCTGTCGTTCACATGGTTTCACTACAGTACAGCGCTTGTTTGGGATCGAGTGCAACACTACTTTCAGGAAAAAGCAAACAGACAGTAAAACGTCTTTTTGTCCTTGGAAATTCGCTCTCTTCTTCTCCTCGTCGGCTCCCAGACCCACTTTTGTCCATTTAGCAGATGCAGCTGGAGGCCTGTGCCTGGTTTCTTGCCTTTTTGAAGCGACAGAGAGAAAGCGAGCCCTTGGAACGAAGATAAAATATGCTATTTAAGGCACAGTTGTCAAGGCTATGGAGATAAGAGCATGAAGTCTTACATTCATTAAAAAGAAGGCTGGAAAAAGAAATATACTTTGGACAACGTTGCCAAGCGAATTTCGATGTTACAGTAAACGCAAACACAAACAAACAAAGGAAAAATAAAAATGTTCACGATCGTTGTCTCAAAAAAAGAAGAAATGCTTCGTGGGGGGCGGGGATGAGTCGAGGTAAACGAGCCTAACACCGAGGCAGAGGTCAGAGGTTGCCTTCGTCGAGCATCTTATTGATCCCGTTACAGATCCTCTGCAGGTGGCCGCGATAAACCTCCGAGGGCCCGTACAGAGTCGCCAGGAAGTCGCAGTCGGCAAAGTGATTGAAGACGTGGTTGACTCGCGAGTGGCTCTTGGCTGTCAGGTGGCGCTTGATGGCCTGGTGCAGCAGCTCGCGGCAATCGTTCAAAATGGCGCTCATGACGCGCCGGTCAAAGGTGAACTCGATCTGGTGGAAACTGACCGCCGTCATGGCCAGAGTGTGGACCTTCTTCCTGCGAGGAGACAAGAGAGAGGAGACGCTGTCACTTTCTAATTCTGACCAGAGCAGCAGAAGTAAAAATAGAAAGTGCTGCCGCAGGAATTTCTCCAGAAAACTTTCACAACCCCCATATATTAGTTATAGTATTGTCCTGTGCAAAGCTCACATCTCCATGCTAATATAATAACCCATCTATGCACTGAGCGCTTGTGTCAGCTTCGCGTCCCTCCGAGCTCAGTTTTACTGGAAACACATATAAACTAATGGAAATGTCCATTCCCTCAATTTGCTTCCATCAGCACACAGAAACGTCCTTTAACTGCACTTCTCCCCAGAATCACATCTTTAATGTTTCACAAGGCTTCCAACCTCCTGACCAACAGTATAACACGACTT